GCTCTGGTAGTTAGGGCTAGGTTAAAAAGAATGTCCTCTGCCTCAGAGGACATTCTTATGGCCGCTGAATTGCAATAACAAACTGAATTTTCGCGTAGACACAGGGGCAGCGATTAGTGTAGTACCCTCTTTAGATAAACATTCTCAAAGTCTAACCCTTTTTAAGCTCTAAACAGGTAACAGTTCTGTTATAAATACATTCGGGAAGAGATCGCTTATTTTAAACATTGGTATGAGGAGAGATTTCAGTTGGAATTTCACTCAAGCAGATGTAAAACATTATATTTTGACCAAGCAGTATATATCGACGCCTTAAGTCAATAAACAGACTCGTCACAGTCATTTAAAAAATATTAACTCACGCAAACAAACACAACACCATTACGCTCGACTTGATCTCAAACGGCAGACATCTTGAAAAATCTTTGTTTTCGACAAAACAAAAATACAACTCCATCTCAATTTTAATCAACACTGTTTCTCCTGGAATAGTGAAATAAAGTGTAACATATCTCAAAAGGCAATTCACTGTCCTTTTTTTTTCTCTGCAACGATGTCACTCAAACTACACTAAAAATTTACAAGTAAGATATAAAAATCGACAATAATAGCAAATTTCACAAACATACATTCGACACTTTGAACAATCTACACAACTGACGTATTTTTCAGAACGTGCTACGACTCTGACTCGCTAGAGAAAATAATATAGCACCCTAATGACAGCACAAGCACGTTTTAGTCGACATGTTTAAACACGCATTTCAACCATTGTAACACTATTTAGCTATGGTAATTGGCCAACTAATTAACCATAGAAATTAAAAACAGGAAAGACTTAAGGCGAGAAAGAGCTATATTGAAAGATAGACAGAGCGACGTCAAAAAGATTTTATTTTATTTACGAAGAAAGATACTTTTCGCACGAGACAGAAAATCCGTAAGAAAAAGCGAGATATGAGATTCTGTCAAAACTGATTAATGTTATGGTAAGGGAATGACGCGCCAAGGGAAACAGAATTCAGAAAGAAAAACAAAGCTGGCCGACACATGGCGGTTATAAAAAAATTCGGACGACCGCGATACAGGCAGAGAGAATCGATATTGATTATCTTTCAGAGATATCATTTAATTTTGATTCCTGGGTCCAACGAAGGGAAATCATCTGGTGTGTGTTAGAATTCTGGCATGAGGAAGAAAATCGTATTATTATTTTTTCAAACTGTTGACGTCAGACACAGCGTCGACGAAAATGGGCATCTGGTGATAAGAGAATTTTAAGGTAAGAGAAAAATAACGAATTTGATTCTCAGGTAAACACAGACCTCCCAGTTAAAAGTTGACTTAGTAGAGAAGCCAGATGTCGGGTTTTGACAGGGATTGATGAGTCGGTAGAGAGACCTAAGTGAATTTTAGGTGTCCCCAAAAGAAAGAGGTGATAAGAATTATTTGGCAATCTGGAGTTTGTGAAATAAAATGTTTTGGTCGATGGAAAAAAGAAAAAAAGGATTTTGTAAACAAAATTCTGGATAATAATTTTAAGAGGGCCACACTCACACTGCCGAGAGATCATTGGTCAAGTAGTAGCATGGCTGATAGGCGGAGGTGAATGCATGAGAAAGACGGAGAAGTTGTTAACACCTACTGAGGGCATAGGTATGAGAAACCCCCAAAATGGAAAGTGATTAATCTTCCAAAAACGGGAAGTAATTAATTTTCCTGGCCTAAGAACCAAGAATCGAGAAGTATCGAGGAACCCAAACCACGCCAGGCCCCACACCGGGTTTTGGTCGGTACCCATATAAACGAACGTCCCCCGGAAGTTTAGCAGTTGATTCGCAGTTGGAGTTGGAGTTCATTTCCGGACAGAGTCAGAATGTTGCCTCGCAGAAGCTGACCGAGAATTTCCACGCCCTTTCGACTTCGACTTCCTACCAAAAGCAAGTTATATTAACGAACGACTTAAGGTTCCAAAACTCGCTTAAGAAACGAAAAGTGTCACAAATCCATAGAAACGGGCGGGGAGAGAAACACACTCCTTTATATAACAGACGGATAAAGATAATTTGTTATTTCACAACATATTTGAGCCTCTTGAGTTTTGTTTTATTGCTTCTTTTACTTGCGCTTGTGCGATATCACCTTCATCCCGGATTCAGGTTGCACTATGGCCCGACGTCTGATTGATTTCGTCTACCTAAGATCAAAGTCACAACGTGGGTAGGTTAGACTTGAGATCAAAGTAGTTACTTCTGTAACCAGACGTTGGAAGTGAGCTGGGAACGACAAAGCTGGTATTGAACCGGAAACGACCAGATCGACCAGGGACACAGGCTGGTGGCAGCGACAAGGAGTCAACCCCAAACGCTGGTGGAAGAAACCTTACAGCTTCGCACCGCAACTGGGTGTTGACCACGGGCCGACAGCGCAGTGTCACATATTGGCGTCGCGACCAGAGGACGTCATATATAGGCGCTGCGACCACCAGTGGGAGTCACACCATACTTCCGACGCCTTTTCTTTTCAGTCACGAGGACAAGAACAAACCTATTACATTAGAAGGTGGCGCGTTACACGTTTTCAAAAAGTAAAAGCCAGCCTGGTAGACTTTACCAAACTCGAGGTCAAAATTTGGGTTGGTACCGTCGGACGTAGATGACGACACCTAATATTTTTCAACCAATCAGAATGCATCAGTTGTTATACTTGGTTGGGAGCCTCTATGTGTTTAACTTACACATTTTTGAGATTTAAAATAATAAATGTAGAAATCTGATTCTACAACAATCTCCCCCACCACAGATTTTGAAAGTTTTTGAGAGAAAATTTTCTCAATATGTTATGTACGTTTTAAATCTACTAGGCCAATGTATGCCAGACTTAGTAATAACTTCCACGGGTAGTACTGAACGTGTAAGCTACGCTAGTTGGGTTGAAGGTGTTAGGTCTGGGTAAGGAAGCGATTTATGAGATAAATCGATGTAAGCCGATTTCAACCGGTCGACTGACACTGTGTTAGGCTTTCTATGCAAAAGTAAAGTAAAATGCTTGGACGTTCTATTAATTACTTTATGTAGACCAGAATACATGGGGGTCAAGGGTCTTCTAACTGCATCTTTTTGCAGGAAGACGTAATCACAACTGTCTAAATGTTTTGGCGTAAAAACTCTCTTGTTTGGGTACGCGTTGGAGTAAAGGCTAGATTTTCCATTTTTTGTTTAAAATCCTTGACGAAATAGGTAGTCGGTCTGGAAGGAGTATTCTTTTCCATGAACTGTCCAAGGAGTGTTAGCGTACTCCCCAAAACAAGTTCTGCTGTAGTACATCCTGAGTCCTCTTTGACTACATTTCTTAATGACAGTAAAATCAGTGGTAGGTTTTCCAGATAAATTCTGGAGTTATCACTTGCTGCTAGTGCTGTCTTACGTTGCCTATGAAATAGTTCCATAACTCCGTTTGCACATGGATGATAGGCGGTTGTAGAAATGTGCTTCACGCCTAACAAGTTTATAAATTCATTGAAAAGGACTGACTGGAACCTCTATCAGTGGTTATTATTAATGGACAACCAAAGATAGAGATCCATTCTCGAAGAATTCACCTGGAAATCGTTTCCGCCAAAGTATTTTTTGAAAGGAAGTGAAACGATCGATTATTGTTAATAAGTATTGGTACCCATCAATGTTGAGCAAAGGGGCCACTAAATCAACGTGGATGTGGGTGAACCTTCCGCCAAGCTTAGAGAATGTACCAGGCGGAGACTTGATATGCCGTTGTACTTTACTTTGCTAGCATTTTAAACAAGTCTGCGTCCAATGCTTTATGTCACTGGACATATTTGGCCAAACGAAACGATCACTAATCATCTTAGTAGTTGCTCTTCGACCATGGTGCGACAGAGAATGGAAATGTTCGAATACTTTTTTTCCGCAAAGAAGGTGGTACATAGGGCCTAGAGTAGCCTGTTCTTACATCACAATATACAGTAGCGTTACTAAATGGCACAGGGTGTTGCTTTAACAGTAGTGACGTTTTTTCTTTTACTGATTCCAAAGTAGTGTCATTCTTTTGTTCTTCCGCTAAGGAGTCGAAATTCAACGGCTGTGCATCGATTGACTGTATTGTTGATTACGATAAAGTATCAGCTACTACATTGTCAGCCCCTTTTACATAGCGGATATCACTTGGGGTATATTTGTTCGACTTCGCGTGCAGAGCATAAATTAATGGTTTATGATCTGTATAGACCACAAAATTCCGTCCTTCCAAAAGATGGCGGAAATGGTGGACGCCAAGTATTTGCCAGTAATTCACTCGAAATATGCTGTACTTTTTTGAGTTGAGTTTAGCTTAACCGAAAAGAACAAAATAGTTTTTTTAGCATCTCCCTGTTCCCGGTGAAGCACAGCGCCTTTTGAGTCGCCCGGTACGTCTGTTGTCAGTGTGATGATTGAGTCCTCATCGGTTATATACGATAACTTCGTAAAGTTGGCAAGGGAGTCTTTGGCTCTGTGAAAAGCAGTCAGTGATTCATCTTTCAAGGTAATCTTCGAGTTTTTTTGACACTGTTGTTGCAGTAAAACTATGAGGGGAATCAGAATCTGGGAACAACCAGGAATGAATCTTCGGTAGTAATTAATTAGGCCTAAGAATCGGCGTAACTGTTGGAGTGAAGTTGGTTGTGAGAAATTTGAAATAGATGCTATTTTCTCAGGTATAGGCGTTATTCCCTTTTCTTCGATGACGTACCCCCAAATTTTAGGTGTGGGTACAGCAAAAATACATTTCTCTGCGTTAAATCTTTAGGCCAAAATGCTGTAGACGCTGGAACACTTGCTCAACGTGATGACGATGTTCGGCCTTCTTTCTACTGGCGATCAGGACGTCATCAATATAGGCAAAAGTGAAAGGTAAACCTCTCAGCACTTCATCTATAAGCCGTTAGAAAGATTATGTGGCGATCCTTAAACCAAATGGCATTCTCACGAATTCGTATAAACCAAAAGGAGTAGTTATCGCTGTTTTATGGATGTCCTCCTTGGCCACTCGTATCTGGTGGAATACTTTCACTAGATCAAGTTTGGTGAAGACTGTGGCGCCCTGCAGACCCACTGCGAAATCGTGCAAGTGCGGAATTGTAGTAGCATTCAGCTTCCGGAAGTCACCATAAGGTCTCCAAGCTTCTGGGTCCGGTTTTGGAACCATATGAAGAGGAAATGAGTATGGTCTCGAAGAAGGTCTAATTATACCGAGGTCCAGCATGTGCTGAAACTCAGCTTTCGCCAATTTATATTTATCAGGACTCAATCGCCGTGGAGATGAATGCGTGGGTGGATCCGTAGTATAAATATTGTGCTCAGCATTGTGACAAACGGTTTCTGTATACCGGAATGGTGTTGTAATTTGAGAATGGTTTTGTAACAGATCCTGCATTCCGTTGGCTTCAGGTAGAGTTGCGCTGATACCTGTGCTCGTATAGATAGATGTGATTCCTTTCTTGGTAATATTGGTCGTTTCATCCTCCAAAGAAAGGGAAGACATATTAACGGACACGTTAAAGTGGACGAGAAAATCCCCTCCTAGGATCGGGGTTCGAACTTGGGCTATCTTGAATACCCAAGGAAAAGATCGCCTAAATCCCAGGTTAACGAGGTTTCACCATATGTAAAGATTTGCATGAAGGAAGTTGAAGCGATTTTCGCCTTTTGGTGTGAAACATCCCTTCCTGCTTTTCTTCGTGTTCATTTTTGCTTTCTTTGCCCCTTTTCGCCTCTTCCTTCTTGGAAAGACGCATACATCTCTCATTCCCTTCTCTTTCGAGGAGATGCTGTAAATCTTCTTTTCCTTTCTTTTTGCTTTCCTTTTTCTTGTGCTTTGTTTTTCCTTGTGCTTTTTGCTCCGGAGTTATCCCGCTTTTAACTTCGTTAAGCAAATCCAAATCCATACTTTGTTTGAATTTTTTATTGTTGCTTTATTCGTTGTATCTTGCGTGTTAATTCCCTTAGCGTTCATTTTCAGAAACACCATCATGATGGCCTGCGCTATCATGTTTGATTTCCTAGCAACCACACCAGTTTGGCACCTCTTTCGTCTGCTTATCGTCATTTTGAATTCAACCTAGCATCATGGCATCTTCATTTTGGCTTCCCGCCAAAATTTCTGGATTTGCGTCTCGACATATCACGTGCGATATTTTTATTCCTGCACGCCGCCATTTTGGATTCCCAAATCATTTCGCTGAAGTGATTTTTTTTCCTTTCATCGAGGGCCTCACCACATGAGCTTTCCAAAGACTTGTGGTTGCCATTCTCCTACTTCTGGACTACTAATTTAACCACATTTGCATATTCCCACTTACACTCTGGAAAATTTCTACGTGTTTTTAATATTTCATCCCTTTACCAACAATATTTCAAAACTTGCCTAGATTCCAGGACATGAAGCTTCTGCAAAGTACAAAATGGGGCACTTTGGATGTTATCTAAATCATGATTTCCATTATTCTTTACCAGGTTGTGACTCTTTTCAGTTCTTACAAATCAAAAAATGTACATAATTGTAATTTAGCCGTTGATTGTTTGCCAATAATAAATCTTTAACGTTTTTATTAAGAACTTTGTCTTTGTTGTTGTAACTCAGTTTTTGGTGTTGATTTATGCCTGTTTTCTTTATTAAAAAAATCCTGATTATTATTAAAACAGAGACCTGCCGTCTTAAGGCCACTACACCCTCACCACAAGTGTCCCCAATAAAAAGATGATCATTACCTACCAAATCATTCAAGGTTATATTCATGGCTAATTTCCTTTGATTTACTGACTGAAGAAAAGATTTTCATGACGGTCGTCCTCGAGTATAGAATCCAGAGGTTGGCATTGAATATTTCGGAGACAGTAGGAAAGCGTTGTGCAGGTTCGCAGTGGATATCGCAGCAAGGTAGCAGAGCGTAGTTCTTCCGTCTGTCCTGTTCGCCGGACAAGTTGCCTCTGGTCATTCCGGTAGGAAAACAAAGATGGCCGCCTTTATACACGACGGATACAGTGTTGTGCGGCTTCTGATTGGTCAACCTTCTATTGGTCGACTATAAAGGAAATTAAGTCATTTTGACTCGCTCACTAGTTATATATAGTATATACCCAAAAAACCGTAACCCCCCCTTATTTTGGGTATAGCATGGAATCTTCAAAATATTAGTAAAGTTAATAAATACTTTAATTCCAAAAATTATATTTTTTTTTTTTTTTTTTTTTTTTTTTTAAGTTAATATTAATATGTAACAAATACTTTAGTATTCCAAATTTTTATTTTTTTTTTTTTTTTTTTTTTTTTTTCTTGAAAAAATATCCACAAAAATTAGTCATATCACTTTGTTCACAATTAAACACTTCGGGTTAATAAATAATAAAATTATAAGTTTAGATTGCGATCACAACAAAAAGTGGAAAAAATAATTACTTTTAGATTGGGACCCATTAAAACAGTTACTATCAAAAAGAGTGATCCAGAGAATCATTTAGAAAGTGAAAAATTGTTATTTTATCCATAGCTGGGACCCATTAAAACAGTTACTATCACTCCGGGTCAGAGTGATCCAGAGAATCATTTAGAAAGTGAAAAATGGGCTTTTATCCAAAGTGGGACCATTTACACTTTTATACCCCGAAACTAAGGACTTACATTCATACCAAAAAAACTGAACTGACGAAATCATTTAGAAAGAAACTGAACTGGACCATTTACTTTATACCCCGAAACTAAGGACTTACATTCATACAAAAACTGAACTGACGTTTCTTACAGTAACTAATGGATGCAGTTTTACGTCCTGCCCAGGACCTAATAAGGGACTTACAGGAATGGATGCAGTTTTACGTCTTGCCCAGGACCAATGGGGGCCTTAATGGATGCAGTTTTACGTCTTGCCCAGGACCAATAAGGACCCAAGAAGTCAGCACCAAACATTGCAGAAGCAAAGCCTGTAGTTTCAATTTCATAATCGGTTTTTACAAATAAATCCGCCATATTATTTCCCGATTGAACATATTCAATTTGTACTGTTTTCTTTTGTACTTGGTCCCTTAACAAACTGATATTTTATATTGATATGTTTTGATCTTTAATGTAATATTGAATTTCTAGTCAAAGCAATACTGCCCTGATCGCCGAGTAAATAATTATCGGTTCAGTTATTGCCAGTATTGTAATTGCTTTTATTAGCAATTTAAGAAAAATAACCTCTTGTGTTCCTTTTCACAATGCAATACATCCAGCTTCACAAGTAAAAAGTGAAATCTTTCGCTGTCTCTTAATTCCTGCTGATTATTGGGTTACCATCTGCTAGCTTAAAGCAATAGCCTGTTATACTCTTACGGTCTGGTGAATTGGCCCAATCAGCATCACAAAATCCTTCCAATTTTAATAGCTTATTGGATTGTCAAAATACTAGGCATCGACTGTTAGTCCACTTCAGATAGCGTAATACTTGCTTAAAAATTGTTAAATGTACAGTCCCCGGTTTATTTAAGTTTTGGGACAACTTAGTAACCGTATAGCAGATATCTTGCCTAGTTTATATCATCATGCAAATAAGACTTCCGACCAATGTTCTGTATTCATTTTCACACTCCGCTATACCATCTTCCTTATTCATAATTATGTTTCAATCCATTTCACATGGAATAATTCTTATTTTATAATTTTGCATGTTAAATTTCGATAAAAGCCTTTCCATGTATCTCGATTAATTCATTGAAATAGTGTTGCCTTTTAAATTTTTACTGTATACCAAGAAAAACATGATAGTCGACCCAAATTGTCATTTTAAAACTCATTTCTAGAGAACTCTTGATTTTTAATAGAGCGGCCTCACTCTTTGATGCAATTAACATATTTTCGACCCAAATAACCAGAATTACTAATATTTCATTATTAAATGTCTTCGTGTACAGACATGGGTCAACTTGAGGAGATTGAAATTATTGTCTCATTAAATAACAATGGATTTAAATTATTCCATGTTTTTCCACCCATTTTGAGTCCAAATAGTGACATTTTTTTTTTAAGTTTCCATACATAATTAAAACCTTCTTTAAAACCTTCTGGTGGTTCCATATGTATTTCATAGTCGATAGTGGCATTCTGAAATAAGCCTCTTTTAACATCCATATGATGTAGATCCTTACCATAATGGGCATCCATTTGCATCAAAACTCTAATTAAGACTTAATGTCTCTACATAAGTCATCTGCCCCATATATCTATAAAAATCCGTTAGCTACAAAACGAACATCGCACACTGGCGATCCATTCTCAGTTCGCTTTTACAGTGTAAACCCAACGGCTGCCGATGATATTTCTATCATCAATTAAGACTTAAGATTTCTACATAAGTCGTTTTATCTATGAAAATCCGTTAGCTATAAAACGAACCTTGTCCTGGCGATCCATCCTCAGTTCGCTTTACAGTACGGCTGCCGATGATATTTCTATCATCCAGGGTTTTTTTCAAAAAATGTCCCTTAATACTAAAGATTTAATTTCTTCATTTTTTTTTTTTTTTTTTTGATTAAATTTCTTTTTTCATTTGTCTTTTGAAGGCATGGCCGCTATGGTCTTGACAGAATGTATGGCTTCTTGGTAGTTCTCTGAGATACATTTTTACCGCATAACAACAGTTAATATTACATTGATTCATTTCAAAATTGTCTGGCTTTCCTCCATTTTTGTCGGAATTTGCACCTGATTTTTTTTTCGTATACATCATCTGGTATAATACCTTCCTCTGTTTGTGGACTCTGAACGGGTTTTCTACTTATAGGCCCATAATTAGGCCATACTAATTCGGGTTGGGCTAGTTCCTCGCAATTAATATTCTTTTTTTTTTTTTTTTTTTTTTTGTTTTCCTCCCTCGCTCAAAAAGAATCTGTAAATCTGACGCATCTAATCTTCCTCATCGTTTTAGTTTGTGGAAAATAAATCATATAGGCTGGACTTGGCTTATCCTATCCAATAAATATGTCCCTTTCATTTTTTGGATCTAGTTCCGCCCTGTGGTCAACATATGTATATATAGTAAATTGTACCAAAAATATGCATATCACTCATCTTGGGCTCTCATTGAGTTTTTAGTTTCTTTCTTAATGCATAAAACCACAGATTTTTGGGTAATTTAGATTCTATTAACAAACATCTAGCCATTTCAAAAAGTGTCCTCCAACTCTGTTCAGCGACTCCGTTCTTATGCGGAAAATAAGAACAGGTTTTCTCATGTTTTAATGCCTTCATTTATTTAATTTATTAGAGGTTTTTGTAAGCATCAGAAGTAAATTCTCCACCATTATCTGTCCGAATTATTTTTAATTTTCCATGCGGGGAGTTATCGGATAAATAGATTTTCGTAGCTTGCAGATTATCAAATTTATTTTCAGAAAATATATCATAAGTTCCTGAATATTCGGCAACAAAGTTTAAGTCATTTTTCCTTTTTAATACACGTGTCACAATATTTTAAATCATTTGGAAGTGTAATTTTCATTCCAGTG